AAAACAGCCATTCTCAACCTTTCCTCCATCATTGACCCCCTCGGCTTTATGTATTTCTCCATTTACCCCCCTACTCCCATACAGCAAATTCATAGCTATCATAAAGCATTGATGTACAATTTCGTGACTAAATGAATGAATGATTTTTTCATTCAAAATACTAAGGGTTTTTTTAGTCAAAATACTGTGCCTAAAAAATACTAAGCGACACTCAAAATACTGATTTCTTATTTAATACTAATCTACTAATTTTTTAGTATAAGTTAGTACTCTGTGTAAAATTCAGTATTTTTATTAACGTTTGTAGTCATTAATAAAAAATTATTCATTTTATCCGCTGTATTAGTAGACCTACAAATTAATACTAATCATAATCATTCATTTTTTTTAGTATTTTTGTTTTTGGCAATTTAAAAAAATTTTGTAAAATACTAAAAACATTTTGTTTTTGAATGAATGATTATGATTAGTACTGACTAATTTGTGACAAAAAATCGTGCAAATTAGTCATTAGTAAAAATACTAAAACAGAAATAAAAATACTGACAAATACTAAAAATTAGTAAAAATTCAGTATTCTGATCAAAAAATTAGTAATCCATCATTCATTTGTACATCAATGTCATAAAGTGACAGAAAAACAAGAAGGTCAGAAAGAACCTTTTTATTGTTTAGGACTTTAGGTTTTGTATAAAAATAGTATTATATATTCGTATCAAAAAAAGAAGAAAATCAAACCTTTTCTAAATAAAAAATTATGAAGTTAATTTGTATTACAAAAAATAATGAACAGAAACAGCAGAAGCATTATCAGTGGGAAAACTGCTGATTCATTGAGTTAATCAGTTTGTTAATGCGAGGAGCTGTTTCTGATAATGCTACTTTCATATCATCATCGGCATTCAGGCGGTTTTTTTTTTAATTATCAGGTACTTCAATTATTTACCCCCGACTATATAATTTTTTACCCCCTAGGGGTAAATTTACCCCTGGTTGAGAACATCTGCCTTAAAAAATCTCAACGACGTTGTTTCCTTTAGTTTTTGTCTTTCATTCCGACGTGAAGGCGCCTACATAGAAAACTGAGTCGAAACGCACTGTCGGTAAAAGATTTTTACTGTGACTCATTATTTCCACTTTTGTTGGCTACTATTCTACAACCCACTAACATGCATTAAACGTAAGTAATAAATTTAAGTTATTAGTAACACTTGCATTCATTCTTGAGTACTAACAAGAGAACAAGTCGGCAGCCCGATGCAAGCTGTCATCATGAACCTGCCTGTCAAGCCCTAGTTTATCAGATGAAATGTGTGTGTCATGTACCACTACAATTCACAGCAAAGGCTTTCATACTCAAAGATTTTTCTTCTTCTCCCGCCTAAAGAATCAATTGGAGAAAAGCAGTCCACGAAAAAAAATCATCTTTCTAAAACAACAGAAGACAAATAGGAGTGACAAAGAGACCCAAAGAAAAGCCCGAGTTCTCCATCTCCTGAGCCCTCCCACGCTACCATGTAGTGGCTGCGGACATCTCTACAGATCCAACGTAGGACTCTTTTCATACAAAAGGAAATGTCGATGAGCACGCCAAACTCGGCAACGAGTTCCGCCAACGATGACATGTAAATTTATCAATTTTTTTTGTCTTAAAGCGTTAATTTAGTTGTTGTTGTTGTTTGAAGTGATTGATTGGCGTAATTTCTGTTATCGATTCGGTCAATTGAGAAACGGAAGCTGCAGAAAGAACCAATTGGAGAAGAATAGTCCACGAAAAAACAACATCCTTCGAAAACACCGAAGACGAATAGAAGCGACGAAGGGAGCCCAAAGAAACACCAGAGCTCTCCATCCACTGAACCCGTCGACCCAACCATGCGGTGGTTGTGGACGTCTCTACAGATCCAACATAAGACTCATTTTACACAGAATGAAATGTTGAGCAGCACTCTAATACTCAGCAAAGAGTTTCACCAACGATGACCACTAACAAATTTGCGATTACAGACAAACTAATATTGGGGATGGGTGGTCCGTTAAAACCGATTGTAAGTAGATGGGAAGGGATTATTTTTGATTTTGAGTAATATATATAGTATATCACTATAGTAAGTACCAGTAGTTATGATCATAATGTAAATACTGTAAAAAAGTATATATGGCATAAAGGAATATATACTTAACATAATCAAAATAACAAAAATAATAGATTTCCCACAGCTACTTGCACATGCATTCACTAATGTATCGTATTGTTTACATGCACGCACTAATGTATCGCTGTATTGTTTACAATTGAAAGGCCAGCCATCGCCGCCAAGCGGTCACTTTGAGAACTAATACGACGCGTTCCGCTAAACGTGCAAATTTTAAGTTACATCGCTGACGATTGGAAAGTTTTTTTTTCTGCATAACTTTTTTTATTTTCTGTCTATATTTCAATACCTGGTTAAGGCGGTGGAGAACTTGGAAAGGGGAATTAACAGGAGATAACTGATAACTGACATCCATTTGACATGGTCACGTAAAACTAGAACAGTGAACGAAATAAAAGGTTCAGTTCGACATTCCAACTACCTGAAGAAGGCCGGAGCATACAGCGGCCGAAACGTTGTGATGGCGACAAAGATGAGGACAATAGTCCGAATAATGTAGTGTTTTTTTTTTTTTTTTGCCTGCAAATTTTGTCCGTTGCATCCAAATTCCTTAGATGAGAGTCTGTAATCACTGCCCATTTTAGATAAAAAAAATGAAATAATTATGTATTTAATCATCAATTTTTTACCTCCTTCCAGAAATATAGAACGTGTTAGTACAGAAATGACAAACGTCTAGCGGAAATATGGAAGAATAACAGGTAACCATTTGATGTTGTGGAGAACCCAAAGTTAATGTTGATTTAAAGGTCAGTTTAAACTAGCCATGAGTCTAACAAAATAGTTTTACAATTTCAAAATAAAATAATTCAACCTATACATGGATTAACAGAATAATAATAAGGATAATTTTATATGCATTATAAAATAAAACAATTGAAATAGAAAAAAGAAAATTTGGTTGGTGTAATTTTAAAATTGGTTGAAAATTTGTGCATGAAGTGAATGTTCTTTCCAGATGTTTGAGTTTAGAAAAGTCTTTTTGCATTTGCGTGATAAAGAGAGGGAAGGATTTACAAAGAAAAAAGAGTTTTATATACAGAGAGAAAATGAGGAATCAGTTGAATGCAGTTATGGGCTTGGGTGTAAGTGTATTCGTGGAAGTGGATAGACGATTGAAGAAAGTTCATTTGAAGTCGCCAATAGCCGAAACGGAAGTCTGTTGAAAGCGAATGCGTCCACTGAATTTTTTTTTCTTTATTTTCTTCTTTCTTTTTTTTTTCTTTTTGCCGACTACATTTATAATTCTTTTAAGATGCTCCGGGTTTAGGATTTTTTTGAACAGCAAAATAAAACGATTCGATTCCCTTTGTCATATGGTATGGTTCTATATACTTATTCCGCGCACATTAAAAAAAAATGATTTAATGAAATTGACTTGGAAATTTACAAAATCGAAGGCAGGATCACGATGTTTCTTGAGTGGGTATATAGCCCACATAGTAAAGCCGACACTATACAGGGTTCAAGTAAAATACATCATTCTTCATTCTGTTTTTCTACCACCAGCATTTAGTGTGTCGCTCAATATATTGTGCTATCAGATAAATTCGTTCGTTTTTTTTTCCAATTTTATTTGAATTAATATGCAAAATATTTTACCGTAAGATTGTATGTTTTTTTGTAGCTCTGCTCTTTCTCTACAACTTTCCTTTATCGTTTTATATTATTGACTGATTTCCTAAAGTTGTTGGTGAATAATAGGATCAAAATAAATGTAAAAGAAAATATGAATTAATTTATCTGAAAACCCTATATATTCATTTGAGCAAATGAAAATTTTCTCATCATATAATTCTGTTACCCTTCTTACTTCGCGCGGCCGTTACGCCCTGAAAATGACTAATATATAATAGACTATCCCGTTTGTCCGCTAACTCTCGCCCCCCCCCCGTCCCTGTCCTGCATATCATTTACACACGCTCGTCAGGTAGGTTATTCGCTGTTTCCTCTCTGTCTCTCTTGCCTTTAATATGTCCTGTAAGTGTCAAATTCTCCAAGCCCTCTTCCCTCATTACGTGTCAAATGTCTCTTTCTATTTCTAAATATCCTTTTTGTTCTCATTTTCCTTAAAACTTCCTCGTTGCTCACATGTTCCGTCTATGGCAATCCCGGAATCCTTCCATGGAACCACATCTGTTACCTCAAGTTCAGCATTCGCTGCCACATAAGAGGGCTGATATGACATGGTAGGTCAACACTCTTTTCTTCATTCCTAACGAAATTTTCCCGTTTTTTAATATTTTGTTTAGCTTTTAGAAGGCATCTTCCTCAATTCTGTCTCAGTTGCTTCAAGTCTCCTCTTCATCTGTGAGGAAATTGTTCGGTATTCAGTGCTATGTGACTTACGGTCACATCAGTGGCGTAGCAGGGGGGGGGCGAAGGGGCGGACCGCCCCGGGTGCCAGCACAGGAGGGGTGACACAATGTCACCCCCAACAAAATTTTTCAACCAGGCTAAGGTGCCAAAAATAGTCTGAAAACAGTGGTGGAGACACAGGGTTTCGCAGACTGGCATATGACCCCAAGAAATAATTTATGACTCCCAGTTTTGTCCCCCCGTCAGAAATTTTCTAATAAATTGTCAGGAAATTTGTGAGTAGGAAAAATAGCAATGTTTTCAGCTTTTGATTTGAACTGATTATTTTGTTGTATTCGATTTTGTCTTGGATCATACATGTAAGAAGTAACTTACCGGTCAGTAGAGTAAAGTAGAGGTAGAGCATGTATGAAAATTTAGCTACAGCTAACCATTCAGCATAGGGTGAATCGGGGTCATTGGGGTGACATTTGAGCGGACCGCCCCGGGTGACGTTTGCTCTAGCTACGCCAATGGGTCACATCCCGTTGAAACACCGGTTCCCGTTCGATCACCAAAGTTAAGCAATGTCGTATCTGGTCAGTACCTCGATTGATGGCCGCTTGGGAATACCTGATGCTATACGCTTGGATTTACGGATAGTGTAATAAATAATAGCTCGGAATTGTTAATCGGAGACTAGAGTTCCAATTCCTGTCGTGTTTGTTATATTCTCTTAGGCGAAAATAGCCTCGGAAAAGGTATGAATCCACCTCTTCTCTCCCCCAGCTATGGCTTATACCACTAAGTCATTATTATCTCCAAAAATAAAATTGTATACAAAATATTTAGCTTTCGGTATTAAATAATTGAATTTAAATATATTTATTTGAAGCCATAAAATTGTGTTCGGTTGATAACCCGTAAAAATCAAAAAACAACCAACAAACTGTGCTATGTAGTAGAATTGGTATTATGTAGCAGTTCAGTACTACTTTCTTTATTTCTAAGGGAATTTTCCTGTTTCTTAATACATTGTTTAGTTTTTGGAAGGCATCTTTCGCTATTCCAATGCGCCTTCAGATATCTATATCACATTTTCCATCGTCCTACATTAATAAAATACAGTGTGCCTCACAAAAAACTATGAATTTTAGATTTACTATATGATGAAAAAAAATAACTAATATATAAAAAAATGAACTATATATTTTACTATATGAACGACCTAAAAAAATAACTAACATAAATTTTTTTAACCATTTGTTGTTCCAGGATGCCGCAGTTATCAGATTTTAAACTCGAGGTGATTGTTCTCTTTAAGAAAGAACATCCAGCTTGGGAATTGAAAAAATGCCAAGAAATTTTGCCATCGTTCTTTAGTTTGAACACCATATCTAGCATTTGTATTTTTGTTCTGTTTTAAGCTACTAAATTCCTACCCTTTGCTTTTGTCTCAAATAATTGTAGCAAAAATTTCAACAATTAAATAAACTGTACCAAATTTTCCGTTTTTTTTTTTTTTTTTTTTGTTTTTTTGTGGGGTACCCTGTATAAGTTTAAATAATAGGGTACCCAGTTAAGATCGATATCACTACACAGAAGTCCTGGGTATGAAACTACATCCGGCAGCACAGTCTCTGATCGGGAGAGTGGAGGTTTTCAGAAGCGTGGAAATACTTCTTAATTGCTGTTGTCCCCCGGTTCACGCTGACCTGTGGTGCTAACATCTTTTAGGGTCCCATTTATGGGCAAATAGTGAACCCCCAAACAAAACCCTATGAAAGTATAAAAAGACATTTTTATCGTGAAAATACCAGCAATACCTAGTTATAGTAAAATTACCAACAATACCTATTTATAGTAAAATTACCAAGATTACCAAATTAAAGCAATAGACCAACAATACATATTTATAGCGAAATAAGCAACAATACATTTTATAGCCAAATGACCAACAATACATTTTATCTGTAGTTGAAAGCATACAATTGCGTTAAAAACAGTTGAAGCCATAAAATTGTGTTCAAAATATTTAAATTTCGGCATGAAATAACCCATAGAGGTGTTGATATGCTGCTAAACAAAATCAATCAAACAACCCACTTTGAAAACACATGTAACTGAATGTACTCACTTACTTCGTATAAGACATAGATACTACAAGGAAAACAACATGATTGTAATTGGCAATGTATAGTGGAGTGATTTCAAATTGCTTTCTTCATGGTTCTAAATTTAGAATTGTCCTTGTAGACTTGGTAAACCAAACGAAGGCTAGAGAATTCAATATACCCTACTATTTTACCTATAGCTGGAAGGAGATGGATTCATGCTATTTTTAAAAAAGAAAATTGAACTCATCAAAATTATGTCACAAAGAAATAGGTTTATACCAAAACATATAATACCTACAATAGATCATCTATAAACTATATATTTATAAAGCGTACGTTTACCTTGAAAGCAAAACATTTATATAAAATATCTGTAGAAGAAGAGATAAAATTGCTTTCGGCATTAAATAATCCATAGAGGTTGATATACCGCTAAAGAAAATCAACCAACCAACATTATACGAGTTGATCTGGTCTGCGGGAATTGTTTAGCTGACGATCGGCCTATGGTAGATGTCCTCATCATAAGCTCAATCTTAGCTAAGTCCACAGTAGTAGGGAACAACTGAGAATCGAACGCACGACTGTAATGAATTGATTTGTGCGACAACCTTATTAACCATTGTGCTGTAATAGGCACCGCCACCTGTATTTCAACCACTTTGACAAGTGAAGCTCTTGAAAATTTAAATTACATTAAACAATTGCATAAATTCCGATGAAAATGCGCGCGGGTTAAGAAACATACATCAAAGAGAGAAAAGCAGAGAGACTCAAAGGGACATTTTTTTTTTAAATCTGCAAGTGGACTTCCCGAACAAAAAAAAAAAAAAAAAAAAAAAAGAAAAGAAAAGAGATATATCCGAACAAATAATCAATCATAATCATAAGAATATTTAAAATATTCAAATCAAGTCACGTACGTAGGCCAATGAGAAAACCACAAACGGTTGCCGAACTGGTCTCTGACGAGGGAGACCTTTTGTACGCCGGTAGGTGACGACACAGATCAAGTTCTTCTTGATCCAAGGATTTAGAAATTCTGGCAGATGGCTTCCATTGACAGACTCTTGAATAGTTTTTTTTTTTATTTTTATTTATTTTTGTTTGTTTGTTTATTTATTTGTTTATGCTCTTTTCTTCCCTCGTTCGCTCTTTGTCTTACTCTGTGCAATGTGTTTCTCACTTGGGTTTATGTATCGGGTGTGGCAAGACGTCTATTTTCTACGAGGTCATTAATCAAGATAATAATCGTCACCTTGAGCGTTGAAACGAGCTTGCGAAACCACTCCATTTATATACCTGGTCATATCATGTCCCTTCAGGATGCTGGTGACATGACTCTCTACAGCTTCCTTTTCTTTAATAACTGTAAACTGGGTATTGATATGTTTGTAATTGGCAATGTATAGTGGAGTGATTTCAAATTGCTTTCTTCATGGTTCTAAATTTAGAATTGTCCTTGTAGACTTAGTAAACCAAACGAAGGCTAGAGAATTCAATATACCCTACTATTTTACCTATAGCTGGAAGGAGATGCATTCATGCTTTTTTTTTAAAATCTATTTTATGCAAATTACATGTAAATTTATATTTTATTCCCCTTCTCTCTATCTTTCTCAACTGACATATTCCTTCAAGATGTAGGTGATTATGGCTCTCCACTGCCTCTTTTACTTTAATATTTGCAAGCTGGGCATTTCCATGTTTGTTTTTGAGAAAGATAGTGTAGCAGTATCACCATTGCCTTCTTTGCAGGTTTGTATTCAGAGTTGTCGTTCTCCAAAATCGGTTTCCCTACCAAGGCTTAAGAGCCTAGTCTATCCTACTATTTTACCTATAATTGGTGCTAATGAATAAGAACAAATGGATTCGTGTCTTTCTTAAGGGACTTAGTGCAAAGTGAACGCCAGAATTTGAACTCGGCTCTCTGATTCCATTTTTCCGTTCGCGCAACCGTATATACTTGCTGATACTCGCACGCCAGATTAACAAACGACATTATGAGGAAACAAAGAGTTAAAAAAGAAAGTGAATTTAAATCACAATCATTAAAAAATGAAGAATAACTGTCCTATACGTTCTCATAATATGCACTTTTTATTTCGTCTTTTCCCCTCTCTTACAACTATTTCACTCAGTACCCCTCTAACTTGAGTGGCTCTTGGGCTTTGTAATGGGTGAACTAAGTAAAAAAGTAAAAAAGAAAAAAAAGGAATTTTTTATTTTTCTAATCTTCTTTTATTCAGGAGCATAGCTCTCCACAACTTCCTATCATTTGTAGTTCTTAGTAATGTTTGTCTTTTTACTATCTCTCTCACTCTCTGCGCTGCCATCCATGTACACAAGCACGTTAAATTGATTTTTCGCTGTTTCTCTCTATGATGCTTGTCATTAATGTCTTGTGAGTGTTGAATTTTCCAAGTCTTCTTTCCTCATTTTGTGCTGCAGTAATTTCAATTGTCTCTTTCTGATTTTAAGTATAAGTGACCTTTTTGTTTTCATTTTTCTTAAAACTTCCACTGTCCCCCTCTTAATGTGGCACCCTAAAATATCCCAGAAACTTCACCGAAATTAAATTGAAAATGAACATAGAACTATCCTTTAAAAAGGGAATTTTCTTATTTTTTTTACCTGTTTGGCATGCCCGTCCGTGACACCTTTTCCCGATGTTTAAGCGTTGATTAAAAAAGTTCAAATAAAAAGCCAGTGTTGAGTATAGATTTCTAAAAAATAAAACGCTATATTACCTAAAGCTTATCCTATTACAATTGTGCTTGCCTCTCCCTTAGCTAGTTTGCACGACCGTTACGCCCTGTCAATACTACATGTAATGGACTATTCCGTTTTGATTGTGTGGAAAGTGGTAGAAAAGACACTACTTGGTTTCAGTGAGAAAATGAATGAAAGAAAGATGGGAAGATAGAATTGTTTAATGGCTATTTCAGAGAAATTTCAAATCTTTTCATTTGTACTCACTTCTTCGGATAACGACCAGCATTCATATTTATGATTGTTATTGCAATATTTTGTTGTTAAGCACAAATATGAAAGTTTTATGGATATTTTATCGTCGTAGAACTCGTCATGAGCTTATTCAATTATTTTTTCACGAGTTAAAACTAGTTATAATTATTTTAATATCTTATTAATGTCTGCTGTCCTCTTTTTGGTAAAACGTGCCTTAATGGGTTAATACTCAAATGATGGAGTTACTTAGCTGAGAGTAGCACTGAGAGGATCATACACACTCCACGAGCAATGATATACGAGGAATCCCCCTTAGTAATTCGATTGCATGAATTTTAAGAGTGCTACTAAATTGGCAACTACACCCTTGTGTAAATCAATTGAAACAAAACGAATAATTCTGTTATTATTTACTTTTCTTTCGTATTTTTCCAATGGAACATGACCCAGTGCACATGTTTGTACTTCGTTTGTCTATTCCACAAAATCATTCCTTGCAGATTGACCACAGATTTTCGATTGCATTTAAATCAGGAGGGTCTCTTGGCCAGTCTA